ATTAGATTTTCTTGAGATTTGTGCTGACACATTAATCCCGATGTACACAAACTTAATTTTTATAATTAACAATCGCATTAATATTTCTTGAATCTCAAAAGATAAAATTAGTCGGTATGGTTTGGACCAATATTAATGCAACACAAAAAATTTTATACTTTATTAGTTGTTACAACAACTCCAAAATAGCATCATCATCACTAACTACCCATTTATTTGGTGTCATTTCGATAAAATTTTGCTTTTAATAATTCTTATTAAGCATTGCATCAAAGGTTAGTTATGTTTAGTTGCTGCTGCACATAGTTTTACGCAACTTTTATTTATAGTTTAACTTAATTATTCATTTTTCTCTTTAATCTTTCAATATTAATTTATTGACTGATTTTATCAAAAGCCCCTTCTATGGAAAACTTATTGCATCAGGAGTTCTGATGCATGCAGAAATGCATCAGGACACCAACGAAATTATGTCAAGTCACACGACGAAACCAATAAATAAATAAAAAATTATATATTTTAATGTATGCTCTGCCTACTCCGGACAAGTGACATAATTTTATTGGAGATCTGATGCATTTGTTCATCAAGACTCCTGTTGTAATTTTTTTCCCTTTTTTGAGCCATCAAAAGCAAGAATAATAAAAAAAAAGTAGTAATTGACAAAAAAAAAAAATGAAAATGATAATAATTATACGGCCACGAACAAAAAAATAATTTCACTTCACTCTATTTGCACCTCCATTTAAAATGTATTTAGATATATCACCTATCAAACGCATATTTAGCTGTTGGACATAAAAATACATAGGAATTAGATGGTACGTATGTAAATGCCCCAAAAAAAACGTGGCTAAGTTAAATTTCCAAATGCTTCTAATGAAATCCTGTTGGAACTTTTTGCGCGAGTGAAATGGGTCAAACGAATATTGTGGGGAGCCAGCTTTCTTCTAGATTAATCAAGTCGTCCAGTGCTAGATGCACGTGTATCATGTTTGTGGTTTGGTCGAGCAGGGGTCGGCTAGTCCTAGCGATGTTAGGACGATGAATTTAGTAAATTGAAATCAGTGATCATTAATTGCTCAAAAATTGATTCAAATTTTGGATCAAATCAATAACATAACGAAACAAACGAGCAGAGCTATAAAGCCAAAATTTTATATTAATTTTATTTCTAGCTAACCTCAATTTGTCTCGAATCGGATCGTCAACAGCCATATTGACATGCATTTAACCAAATTTATATTAAATTTACTGATTATCGATTAATTTTTTTTATAAAAATTTGTATTTAGTTGTCAAATTAAAAGCTGTTAAATTAAATATATGTGTTTTTTAACTCTAACTAATGAAATGGTTTTGTTATGATCAATTCAAGCAATTTGCTTTTTAAGTAGTTTATATAATGAAAGAAAAAATCTGGACGACCAATTCATCCATTTTGACTACTTGCGCACAAAAAAATTGGAATGCAAGCCTTGACCAAGTTTGGCTCGAAGACAAAACTTAAATTAAGGCTTTATTTGAAATATTTAAAAAAAATTTAACTAAGAGATAATAATATATACTAGTTTATTACTTTCTTTTAAAAAAAAATAAATTGTTTTTAAAATTCTAAAAATTAAATATGTGTTTTTTTTTAAATACCTTAACTATTGAAATGGTTTTGTTATGATCAATTCAAGCAATTTGTTTTTTTAGTAGTTTATTTATAGCATGATTACATATTTGTGCTTTTAAAAAATAATTTTAAAAAGATGGACGGAATTTTTATTTAAGGAATTTGCTATTCACTGTATTAAGACCCCTTTAGGGCGGCTTATAAGTGTGGGCGGCTTTTTGAAAACGCTACTGTCCTGTTTGGTTTGCACTTATGCACAACTTATAGAAAACCGTGTTTTGAAATTTGCAAAAGATGCGGCCAGCGGGAGGACCCTCACGGGCCGCGTTTTCGATTGGATTATTTACTCTCGTGACCCTCGTCGCCATTTCTTTTTCGCATTTCGCTCTCAAAGAGTGGAATCATCGTCGTTTGCCGAGTTCGCTTCGGCGTTCGTGGAGGCTTCGGTCGCTGAGTTCGCTTCGAAGTTCTGGGTCGGCGAGTTCGCCGCCATGGATCTCCTCAACTGCCTCGACGCCTCCTGGTGCTCTGTATCCGTCTACATCGACGACTCCAACTGCAAGCTCCTCTCCTGTCCATACGGAAGAGTCGATCACCGCCGCCTCAAATCCCGTACGCTTGGCTCCTACATCTCCAATGGCATCCGTTTCCACCAATCTAGTGGTTGCTTATCAATTTTTTTTTGTTGAATTTATTATTGATGTTGTCGAAATAATAATTAAAATGGCTCAATCTGTGAGCAAATGGATGAAGTATATGTATTGTTAAATATTTTAAATTTATTTTCATTTGCACTTGAAGAAATCTATATCAGGATTTGCAAATGAATTATCTAAAATCTTACAAATCGACTACGACATCGTAAATGACATGTTTTTGGTTAAACTTTTTAAGCAAAATTTTCAAAATACAAGTGATGATGGATGGTGTACATCAATCAAAGTTTAATTTTTGTGTGAAACTTGATATAGTTATTTCAAATATAATTGAGATATATATAATACATAGGAGATCGAGTTGATGTACTCAAAAGATCATAATTTTTTATTATTTTTAAGTTAAGTTATTTTACATGTAATAGATGTACAATTTCAAGACCTCAATAATAGATTGCAAGACGCTGTTTACAAAACGCACAAAACAAACAACTAAACAACTTATCCACAACAGGGGCAGAATAGTCATTTAACCAGAACCAGTTGTTTTCCAAACGCACAAACCAAACAGACAGTCAGCTTATTTGGATCAGCTGCTCATCAGCAAATTATCAGTATAAGCTGTTCATCAGCAGAAGCTGAATAAGCTGAAGCTGCCTCAAACAGACCCTTAATTGCTGCAGCAAAATTTTGAGGTTGATGCACATAAATTGAATTTTGCTTTATTTCATAAATATATTTTTTTACAAATCAATCATAAAATATTAAATATTAACCACTCAAATTTAAAACTTAACATTTTATTCATTCAAAATTTTCACTTAAAAACTTCATTAGTGGGTAAAGAAGGATAATTATAATGAAAAAAAATATATTAAAATATTATATTTTAAATTTGGATGATTAAAATATTATATTCAATATTTTGAGTGATTTGTATGTAATATAGACCTCTGATTGTCCTGTGCGAGAATTAGTTGCATTTTAGTTACAATGGTTACATAAAGATTTTCACTATTATTTCATGAGGAAACATGAATAGAAGATTAACATATATAGGAGCCAGAGATTAGATAACCCAATGTTAATAGATGGCTTAAGCTGGGCCAGATCAATCTGATTCTACCAAATATGCTGTAGCCATTTCATTCTAATAATATAAATAATTAGACGCCCATACTCGACTAATCAATAACTTCATCAGAATAGCTGGTAATGGATTATATATATTATATATATATATATATCCGCATTTACAGCTAAAAATGATTTGTACAGATCTCAAGATAATATGACGGTGGACGATAAGAATACTAAAATAATAATCTTCTAATAACTGCGAAGCGGAGGTTGTTACACAGCTACAGCGAAAAATGTTTTGTACAAATCTAAAGATAATATGACGGTGGATGATAAGAAGAGCAAAATAATTTGTGCTACCCTCCCTAAAATAAAGGTAAAATTATAATATTATATTATTTGCGTACGTAATAAACACGTGCATAATAACCTCTGTTTCGCGGTTATTAGAGGATTATTGGAAGGTTATTGAGGAACCTATAACCTTAATAACCTTCGTGCGTTCTATTTCAATATTATTCATAGGTTATTATGGGGGTATTACCGGGTTAATAGAGTACGCACACAAAGTTGTGTGTGTTTTACGTATGCAAATATTTCTACCTCTATAGACCCCAAGTATAAGTAGAACTCTCTACCCTTCCTCTCTTAACCTTAATTTTTTTATAGAACAGAAGCAAAAGAACTTAGGAACACCCTCATTTTATCTCGACGAGGGCAACTCTCTCACTCTCTTCTCATCTTTTACATATCACAATTTAACGAACACTCGCAAACTCAATTCTTTTTTTTTTTTGTCTTCTACAACTTGTCTCACACAAAATACTTTTTTATCCAAATATATATTCTTAATAATTTATTTATTTATTATTTATTTTTAAAATAATTCATTTATCATTAATCATGAATGAATGTTCATATTAAAATAAAGCAATTCTTTTTTATTTATTTATATTAATACACTAATTAATAATACTTAAATCATTTAATTGATAAAAAAATTTGTAACTTACATCCTATTTTATTTAATTAATATAAAATAGTTATATATTGACTTAGAATTTATTTAATTAGTTTGTTTGATGATATTTATGCAATTATTCCTTAATACACATACATAAAAACCCAGACACTCATTCAAATTTAACTTATTTTATAACTCATAGAAATACCCATTCAATTAATATAACCAAAGTGAATACAAACCGGATACGATCAATAAAAAATTTTTTAAGCGAGTCAGACATGAAAATACATGTGAAAACTAGGCTCAAGCTCAAGCTCAAGCTCAAGCTGAATAAACAACTTATAAAAAAAACTAAACCAAATCTAATCCAATCCATGACATACACTGCTCGATTTAGTTTAATTACAACCCTAACCGGGGCCCTTAGATAGCCAAAAACAAGCTTGGAAAGCAAAATAAAATTTTTGGGATGGCAAAAATAATTCAAAGAATGCATTTCAATTCTTTCCTCATCAACTACTATTCACAGTAGTTTAAGCCAAAGAAGGAAGCTGTGTCAAAGCAAAGATTTGGAAGGTAAAAATGTAAAAAAAAAACTTTAGGTATTAAATATGTAAATACATAGGAATTGGTTGGTATGCAAGTAAATGCCACCCAAAAAAAAGAAATCAAATGAAAGAATATCCATGACTTGAAAAGTAATATAACTATTCATCCTACAAGAAACTTTAGAAGAACTACAAATTCAGGCCTCCATTATTCACAAGCAACAAAAAATAAGAAGAACCCAAATCAATTTACACGTTAGGAACTGAGAACAATCCATTCATCTCATTTATGCACCATTTCCCATCTCAAGTGCAACAAGAGAGAACAAATAACAAATAAGCCCCTATGATAGCATGTATCTGTGTTCTAGTTCAGTGCGAAATGACTAGAAAGAACTTATATTTACCATCAGAGTGCCACTACATAATCTTAACTGCCTGCGGGAGTCCGCTTCTCATCATCGCGCAGAATTCTTCGTAGTTGATCCTGCCATCCTGCAATCATAACATGATCGATTTCAGAACTTACAGTATGAATATGAAGCGAACGAAAACGACCGAGTTAAAACACTTACATTGTCTGCATCGACCTCTGATATTATTTCCTTTATAGTCGCTGCATCGCCCATGCCATGCTCTTTCAATGCCGTTTCAAGTTCATCCCTCGTAATATATCTGCAGAAAGGAAGCGGATAAATCGAACATCATAAATGAGCTTTATTTGTTCAAACTTGTATGCGGATCATAGATGAAAATGACTATGTTAGAAAGATGATGTAACATATACTGAATATAAGATAGTGATAACTTAAAACTCTAAATGCAATTGTCCTCATAATAATATGTTAGCAGCAGACTCACCCGCTATCATCCTTGTCAAAATACTGAAAGGCACTATATAAGTTCTCATCTCTTTCCAGCTTGTGCCTGTGCATTGTGGCGGTAATAAACTCAATGTAGTCGATCGTTCCGTTACCATCCACATCAGCCTGAAAAAGACGAAAAATTTTCAAGCATTAGAAATTATAGTTGAGAAAGTCGAAGGCATAAAACAACGAAGATGTATTGATCAACATACAGCGTCCATGAGCTGCTTCACTTCAGTTTCCGAAAGCTTTGAACCGAGACGCGCCAAACCGGTCTTCAGTTCTTCGTACGTTATGCTGCCACTTTTGTCGGTGTCCAAATTCAAAAACATTTGCTTCAGTCCCTTAATTTCTTCCTCAGATAGACTCGCAGCAATAACCTATTATTATTCTTTTATATATTAGAAATTTTATGAAAATGTATTGACAAAGTGAAATTCTTATATCCAACCTTCAAAGCTAGTTTCTTTAGTTTGTTCATAGCCCGGAACTGCTTCATCCTGGAGAGAACTGCACTGTCTATAGGTTTATCAGAGGCCTCTCCACCTTTAATCCAAGGATGTTCTGTAATACAACAAGGCAAAGTTCAGAAACAGAGGTTTTGAAGCTGATGTTATGAAGAAAATAGGGACACGTACCAAGAACTTGAGCTGAAGTAATTCTCTTTTTAGGGTCTTGGGTAAGCATCTTCCTAACCAAATCCTTGGCACTGCTAGAAATAGAAGGCCATGGTGCAGATTCAAAGTCAATCTCACCTTTTAAGATAGCATCAAATATTCCTTTTTCGGTTTCTGAAAATTAAAAAAATATTTAGTAAATAATATGATATGGAAAGCTCATAACATTATGCATGATATGATAATATCATTTAGCAGGGAAAAATTACCTGCCCAGAAGGGAGGAACGCCGCTGAGAAGAATGTACAAAACAACGCCGGCACTCCAAATATCTATTTCTTTCCCGTAGCTACGTTTTAGAACTTCGGGAGCAACATAATAAGCGCTTCCAACAATATCTCTATACACTTTTCCTGTAAAGATTTTCAC